GCCAGGGGCTGGCGTGCAGCAGCCTGCTGAGGCTGGCGTGGGAACAGGCTAAGAATAGCCTGTTCCCGAAACCCTGGTTCGGTGCCTGAGTTTCATGGCCGGTCGCTCTGATGAACGACCGAAAATGGCCCTTTGTTTCAGGCTAAAAAGGCTGTTGCCATTTTTACTCTGAAACGACACAGGGATAGGCCCTGGAATAACGGAGGCGCGCGAAGGTAGGCTCAAGCTCCAGGCTTTCGGGCTGAACCGACATGGGGCCTGTTAGCCTTGGATTTCTGGCTTTCAACCTGAAATTCAGGCTTTCGTTCTGAAGTTCAGGCTTTCGGTCTGAAGGGCGCAGGCCTGGAAAATGGCCTGCTTGTGCAGGCGCAGCATGTAACACCCCCCCCTCCTTATGAAGTCAAGCCGGGGCAAGGGCGAAGCCGACGATCTGAAGGTGGAACCTGGACGCCGGGGCGGCGTGGAGTCGAAGAAACCGGCTTGCCTTGCATCTTGCGTTCGTACAGTGCGAGTACATCTGGAGCTGTCGCTTGAAGTTCCCGCACGGGTTAACCATCGGTCAGCTCGGTGTGTGCAGTATGCAAAATGCACCAAATACTCAGTCGGCCTGCTGCCCTAGCATCGCTGGGAGATGATATCGCCGACCTCCTGAAAACCGTCTATAGAAGGTGGGTCTTGTGTATGTCTCCCGGGAAAGTCGTCATGTTCCACTGGCGTGGAGAGAGCCAATTTGGAGCAATGAAAGACTGCATAGACGGGCAAGTGGCCAGGCAGCTGAATCATGAAGGAAGGTCCTTTGGGTGCGTCCCCAGCGGGTGCTATGATCGGCCAAGGCCCCATCCATTTCGGAAGGAGCTTGCGAGAGATGTCTTGTTCAAGGCTGAATTCCGTTGGGGAAACCCTGACGAGGTCACCGGCGCGGAATGGACAAGGAAGACGCTGGCGATTGGCCTGCTGGCTCATGCGCTGCTGCGTCTTAGCCATCTGGTCGCGTGCCTTGACAAGCAGCTCTTGCATCCGACGCAAGAAAAGAAGGTGGTCGTCGCTCTCGGCCGTGCGTGGAGTAATAGTGTCCAATGGTGACGTGACCGGCGGGCGATATCCCAATAGCCGGGTGGATGGAAGAGTTGTAGGCCAACACGTCCGGCAGTCGCTCAACCCAGTCGTTCTGGTCGCGGGGCGGATGAGAGTGCGAAGAAGAACCTGTGTGGTCTGATGCGCCCTCTCCGTCTGGCCATCGGTCTGAGGGTGGCGAGCTGAATTAGGCTTGAGAGATGAGCCCCATCGCTTGATGAGCGCCAACCAAAAATCGAACATGAACCGAGTGTCGCGGTCGCAGACGATCTCCTTGGGGTAACCCTTGGTTCGAATCCAACCGGCATAAAAAACCTCAGCCAACTCTGGTGCCTTGGCATGATAGCGACAAGGTAAAAACATGGCGAACTTGGTGAGTCGGTCGACCACCGTGAGAATCCCATCCACTCCGGTCTTGTGCTTGGGGAACGGGCCGGTAATGTCCATGGCAATCGCTTCCCTTCGCCTCAACGGGACTGGCAATGGTCGTAACTCGTCGTACAGACGATGGTTGCGGGATTTCCAGCGTCGGCATACCTCGCATGACTCGCAATAGCGCGTGACGTCGCCGAGAAGGCCGGGCCACCAAAATCGCTGGCGAAGTCGCCCAATCGTGCGATTGACTCAAAAGTGTCCAGTGGCGGGAGCATCGTGGAACTCGCCAAGAAGCCGTGTACGCAAGTGGGGATCACTCGGTACGCAAAGAAGGTCCTTCCCCCGCGTGTGGACAAGCAAGTACCCCTCTTGGATCCGGTAGTGAGAAGGAGCCGGATTATGAGAGGAGCAATTCGCGTACTTGTCGCGAAACTCGGGGTCGGCTTGGTAGCCGCGGATGAAGCTGTTCCGCAGGTCATCGTCGATCTTGAAGGTTGAGTAGACCGCGGTACAATGATCCGGACGCCGTGAGAGAGCATCCCCAAAACGGTTCGACTTCCCGGGAATGTGATCGGGAAAGAAGTCGAACTGGTCGATGAAAGCCATCCATCGCGCGATGGTGCTGTTCACGGTGTCTTGGGTCTTGTAGAAGACCAACGGATTGTTGTCCRTTACCCAGCGAAATTGGCTTCGACCAAGGAGGAAGTGCCGCCACCGCTCGAGCGTGTGGACGAAGGCGAGGAGCTCTTTCTTTCGTGCATCGTCAATGGAATGCACGATGGGCACTTTCTTGCCGAAGTACTCGACCGGGTGCTAGTCCACACCATCATGTTGCTCAAGGACTGCACCAATGCCATAGTCTGACGCATCCGTAGTGGCGTGCGTAGGCAAGAGCGGGTCGTATATCCGCAAGACCTCCGCAGACAATAGCGCGGCTTTGAAAGCGAAGAATGATCCCCGCGCCTCCTCTCCGAAGTCAAACGGTCGATCCTCGCATTGAAGCTTGTTCAAGTAGGCCGCTATCTTCGAGTAGCCTTTGATGAAGCGCTGATAGTAGCCGGCAAGACCGAGGAACGAGCGAACATCCGTGACGTTCCGAGGCTCTGGCCACTCTTGGATGGCCCGAATCTTGTCCGATAGCGGACAAATGCCCTCCGGTGCGACAAAATGGCCCAAGTATTCCAGCTCTTGCCGGACAAATTCACACTTGTCGCGGTTAGCCTTGTACTTGGCGCGGCGGAGCGTCTCCAACACTCGTCGAAGATGCCCAAGATGATCCTCCAATGACCGGCTATAGACGATAATCTCGTCTAAGTAGACCAGCACGAACCGGTCCAACATTGCACGGAATTCATTGGTCATTGCCGCCTGAAAGGTCGTCGGGGCGTTGGTGAGGCCAAAAGGCATGACCACCCACTCAAAATGCCCGTACCGCGTCTTGAACGCAGTCTTGTAGCGATCGTTCGGCTGGATCGAGATTTGATGATATCCTGATTTCAAATCCAACTTAGAAAAATATCTTGCGTCGCCCAATCGCTCAAGAAGATCGTCGCTGCGAGGAAGAGGCCCCGCATTCTAGACGGTTTGCGCGTTGAGCTTGCGGTAGTAGATACACAGTCGTAGATCCTAGTTCTTCTTCCTGACGAAGAGAACTGGTGCTCCATATGCGGAGCTACTAGGGCGGATCCAGCCCTTGGCCAACAAATCGTCGAGTTGTGCGTGGAGGACCTCAAGCTCCTCCTCGCTCATCCGATAGATGCAACCTTTCGGCGGCACGGCACCGGCCTCAAGGATGATCTCGTGTGAGATTGGCCAATCCGGCACCACACCGGTAGGTGGCTCGAAGATGTCGGCGAACTCGTCCAGCAACCGCACCACACGGGGGTCCGAAGACAAGTCCATGGGTGAAGAGTCGGCTACCGCGACGGTCCGTAGGAAACATAGGCCGATCTCCTCGGGCTGCTCRTAAGMGCAAGTCGCCCGGAATGATTTGGCCGTCMCCACTTGGCASCGGATCGAAGKGTGYGGTAGAGGAATAGTACAYRCCACTTCCGCGCYGAAGGCGTCRCGAACGCTAAGAGTCCSCYGATGGAAGTTGACYRTGTAATCCGCACTTGCAAGCCAAGGCATTCCCAGAATGATGTCGAAGTCCGTGTCGAGAATATCGAATGTCACCGGTTCGCATGCATGAGGTGCGAAGTAGACCGGTACGGCCTCGATATAACGGTCGAGAAATTGTTGTCTTTCCATCCGCCAACTTGATCGCCGTCGGGTTTGCCTTCCTCCGAACTTGTGCGCCAAGGCCAGCCTTTTGCATAAAGGATTGGCTCATGAAATTGCGAGACGCGCCGCTATCCAGCAAAGCGCTGCAGGACGCTTGCCCAACCTGAATGCGGACATACATGAGCGGTGCGTTGCTGTCTTCGTACCGTTGCGTGCGAAACTCGCAGGCCACCTTGGTAGTATACACCAGGATGTCCCCCACCGCGACTTCGTCATCCATCGGCGAAGTTGGTGGTGCATAGAAGGATAAGTACGTGTGGAGATTAGCGCTAAGTGTTGCGCATTGCGGTCCCGGCAAGCGGCCTGTGGTCCGGAGAGGAAGCCATGCAAAGTCCTCGGACGTGAGCGGGTCCAATACCTCTATGTTGAACTCGCGTGCCGAATCCCGTGAAGAACCACTTGAAGACGATATGTCGACGTTGCCGGACGGAGAAGAAACCGCACACACTTCTTGTCCTTGAGCTTGAGTACCCAGCGTAGGACCGAGTCGGGCAGCATAGTCCTCAAAAGAAAGTAGAAGAGGAGGACAATCGACTTCCGCGTGCGCCTCGGAATGAAGGTCAGTTACTCGCGAAGAAACCGGTTCCGAAGGCGTCGAGAGTGTCGTCGAGTCACTCTCGGCGGTGCTCAGTTTCCCTGTCTGCCCTTGCCTTTTAATGGGCAAACCTGCGTCTGAATCACTCTCGCGGGCTTTGAATGCTTGCTCGGAGATGCCATACTGGGACCATGGGCCTGTCTGAGCTGCTGCACCGGACCCGGGGCTAGATGCGGTGTGTGTCTTCGTCTTGCCACGTCCTCGGCCTTTGTCGGGGCGGCCACCTTCCCGGGCGGCTGCGAGTCTGTCCCCTTCACTGGCAGACACAACCTCGCTGGTTTGGTCAAACGGCGTTGCCGCTGCGACCACGGCCACTCTCGGCCAATGCTGGTCCCTGCTTGGGCCTGACGCAGATGAACGGAGGTTCTTGGCCTCCTTGTTCATGATGATGATCTGCGCGGCCTTGTCAAACAGTTCCGCCGTCGTCGTCAAGGTGTCCTCGACAAGAGTCATGGCATTGCTTAATGTCGGACATGACCTTGAGATGAAGTAATGGCGGATGGCTTTGAAGCCCATCTGGATGTCTGGGGCTGGCGTCAAGCGTTGGTACTCGGCGATCCAGTCCGTACTCGCCAGCGTGCCTTGTTCGAAGACAATGAGCTTGTCCATGGCTTTGATCTCTGGCGGCTCCACCTGGAACCGCTTGTGCCACGCCGCCTTCAGATCATCCCAACTGATCTTGGTGTGCAAGTTGTTGGCTACCACTCCGTACTTGGACAACAGGTTGTTCAACCAAGCCTTGCACGCGCCCCCTGAGCGAGAGTACCAAGTACGCGTGGTGCTTGTGTTCCTTGACGTTGTGGAGCTGCAGCGTGAGCTCGAACTTGCGAAACCATGGAATCGGATCTGTCTTCATTGAGTCGCAGAAGATCTCCTGCCCGTCGAACTTTGGAGCTGTCTCGCGCGGTTCTGAACTCGAGATGTTGGTGGTAGTGCAGATCCGCTTTTGCAACTGTTGCATCGCGGTCTGCTGTAATTGCACACCATCCTTGAGTGAGCCGACGTCCATCTCCAATGCGTTGAGGCGGTCGGAAGTATTGGAAGAGCTTGCATCGACGGCGGCGGCTGGTCGCTGCTCCAACCGCTGAAGGCAGTCTTGGACGTCAGCTAGCGAGTTGTCCAGACCGTGGATCTCCTCTTGCTGTGTAATGCAGGTTGCCAGGAGGTCTGTGAGATGCGAGAGGAGGAGCGCTATCTTGTTTGCGCTACCCTCCAGCTTGCTATTATCGGCCTCGGTCCGCCATTCCGCTGCCATTGTAAGTAACACCTGCTCTCCGGTAAATATCTTCTCACGACGTTGGTGTCTTTCTTCATCGGCAGCCCTTGCTGCTGCCTCCTCATGCTGGCGCTGTTGTTCAATTGTCAGCAGACATACCTGCTCGGCATCCTCTACTCTTCTTTGCTGCAGCAGCAGCGTCATCTGCCCATTTCTTTGTCTCGGTACTCCAGGCCAGCATGCGGGCCTGATAGGCCTCGTCTGCTTCTCCGGGCCTCTGGTCCATGACTGCTGTATGTGAACGCAACAGCATAGACCAGGCCGGGGCCTGCTGATGTGGTATCCTCTGCTGCTGACGTGGCACTGCTGACGTGGCCTGCTGACGTAGCCTGCTGATGTGGCCTGCTGACGAACTGACGTAGTCTGCTGACGTGGTCTGCTGACGTGGCAACTCACCAATGCCGCCGCAGGGGGTACCTGGAGACAAGCAGAGAAGATAAGGCGAGAGATGGCAACAACATAGGTGGGGAGGGGTGGGTGGGATAATCGCCCGACTAATCACTCAGATAAGGAGCCACTAATCAAAAAAGAAAAGTTCGAACTTTGCAGAACAATTTCGAGAAAAACAAAAATCCCGATTTTTGCAAGTTCAGTAGGTCTCCCAACCTCCCTTGAAGTAAGAAATGATCACTGACAGAAAAAAAAATTCGACTTCAGACTGCAAATGATTTATAGAACTGAACGACAGAATCCTAGAACTGCGAAAAAATTCCGAAAAGAAATGACAAGTATTCGGATTTATTCAGATAAGAATATTCGCAGTTTGGAAAATAATACCGCAGGAGGGATTTCCCGTACCGTTTTCAGAAAAACGAATTTCGGAAAAGAGGATATTCCGAATTTCTAAGTAACAGGAAATGCAACAGGAAATCGAAATTTTCAAAAAGAAAAATATTCCGGATTTTCAACAACGAAATTTTGAATTTTCAGAAGAAAAACGAAAATGGGAATTTCAGATGTTGCGATATTGCGATTTTCCACCACGGAATAGCGAGGAAACAAAATCCAAGAAAAGAAAAAAATTTCGATTTCCGGTAGTAAGGTCAAAATCGTGATTTTGGGGTCTAACTAGCATGCTCTAATCCATCAATAAAGACTAACTAGCTATTTAGTCCCCGCACACGTGTCAGGTCATGTTGTCCTGATTCACGTGCGATGCTCCGATACCGACTGTTACATGCACAGATATGCAATGTACGTAATAACCGAGGATCTGCAATGTGATGAAAAGGACTGAATGGACAATGCGGTGCGAATAGAATCTC